ATAGTTATGGCTGACTCAAAAATTTGAATTTGGGCTGTGAAGTTTGTGTAAAAATTTGAATTTGAATTTGAAATTTGAACTTGAAGTTTGAATCTAAAAAATGTGGATTTGAGACTTTTTTGAAATTTGACTAAAATTTGCGTTGTGAATAACTGGCGACACTGTCGTTCGTTAAACGGTGCGGATTTTGTCTAGAATCTCACCTCACTATTGATGCCGTAAAGGTCTGCGTTAACTAGCATAGCGTTTGAAATGTAACCGATCGATTCTTGCGTTATAAAATCCACAAAAAATTTCGTCATTTCCGAAGCCTTCAAAATTAGAGTATTAGATATGCGTCTCGAGTTTATCGACATTGCAAAAACAAAGAAAAATTTTATCTACAAAAAACTCTTTCGGGGAGTTTTGTCAACCAGCGTTAAGCCATCTTTTATGTATCTTTGGACCATGTATCTTCACAGCACCATCCAATCCCTCCGAGGTCCTTTCAAAACCACCTTTTTCTCATGAACTGCTTCTTGAGGTGCCTAACGTTTCGCGCCGACTTCCGTTATTTATCGTTTACTGATAAAGGTTACGTTGCCCAGGTTTGAGGGTATAAAAACCACTCGAGCCGAGACTTTCCTACAGATGGTTGCGACAAAAAGATAGTCATGATAAAAATCCGGAGAAAGCCAGGAAGTATTAAAAATTTTTTTTAAATTTTTTCAGGAAAAAATCACGAATCCCTTGCAGTTTAAATGAAAAACGAACCATATTTTCTGGTCCCACTATTTTATTCTCGAGAACACCTTTTTGAGCAAAATCCTGCGCGTTCTCACTGTGCTGAAGCATTAAATCCGGATCCCAGATAACAACATATTCGTCGCCATCCAAGTCTGATCCTGTATTTAGCGAACAGCACATTTATCACATGCTCCATGCTAGCAATTTTTGTGAAAAAGCTCCATCGAAAAGTACAAACTGACCAGCCATTTCGTCCGGATGTGGCCGCGGACCGTGCTGCGGGAACACTACGACATCGACCAAGTGATGCAACTCAGGAATGTCCACTGCTTCAAACATCCTTACATCTCCAGCAACAGTGCACGGATTCTTTGTTAGCATAACTTTTCCTGAATAATCAAATTCGTTGTTTGGTTTGCCACAATAATAATAATAATAAAGTAATGATAAAACAATAATAATGGTTTGCCATAATACTAATAATAATAATAATCAAATTTATTAGGTTTGCCACAGCACTAGCAAACCAACGACTTATTATTCTGTTGCGAAAACGAGAAGATTCTGAACTGCTGGCATGGATAGCAGGGTAACTGCACTATGAGAACGGGAAGAGGGCAAGCCAGCCTCTTCTCGAATCCAGTTACCGGAAAATGGGAAAAATTTCCTGCGGAAAATGGGGAAAAATGAACTAGAAAGCGCAAAGTATGAGCCGAAAGCGAGCAGTCCTTCTTAGACAGCCCGCTTCGATAAAAAGCATCGAAGGAGCGCACGTCTTCTCGGCTATTGGGAGGTGCGCTGCTCTGAGAGATGCAAATCCGCCAGGATGTTCTGACGGGGCGGACGAACATCTTACCGGTCACAATTGCTTTCAAGGCGAATTGCGATAGCGATTTCAGCGACATGTTCACGGTGTATTGCACGAAAACCTGGCCCGACTGCAGCTGACCCGTCTCATCCATAATTCCAAACATATGCCGGCCAAGATGTGGTGGTATTTGAATTTGCATTTTGCTGATTATTTTTCCTGAAAAAAAAAACCAGGCTCGAACGCATCAGGCTTGCTGGCGCGATTATGCGTTTTTGTATTAAACTCGCTGGTCGCTAATAGCAGGAATAATCCCTGCACTGTAGCCTAATAGCTGAGCTCATTTTGGCCGTGCTTTGGCCCTTTTTCGGCATGCAGGAGAGAAAGGTCGTCGGTTGGGATGAAGGTGATGCATTATAGAGTCGCAAGGACTTCCAGGTACATGATTACCAGTTTTTTGTACGAAACTCGGTCGTTTTTTCGGTAAACGTTCGCTTTTTGAAAAAATAAAAAATGCAAATTTCCAGTTCACTAAAAAGTGTAATCCAAGTATTGCTAGGGCGGTCGTTTGCCAAAAAACCAATTACGTAAATGAACTGAATGTTTATTTACATATGAGGGTGGTCCCATCAATAAACCCAGGCTGGAACGCACCGGGCGGGCCCGTGCGATCATACGTTTTTGCACAGGACTTGAAGTACTCAAGTCATTAACTA